GTTACAGCTATCGTCCGAATCCAAGTGACAATTGCGTGGGCGGCCACTGTCGTTATTCAGGTGTTCACGGATCCGGATGTTACCGCCAATACTTACATTGATATGATGGGCCGTAGCTAACCAGGTTTTCCTAGCTCGGGAATGACTGGACGCACGGTTCTCGTCGTCCCAGTAGAGTGCCCTGCAATATTGCAAGCCTGTCTTGGCTTGGATCCGGGGATCCCAGAAATGATGCAGGCCTAAAATATATTGCTTGGTACTTTTTTGTACCAAGTACGGCAAAAGACCATGGACAGGACCACAGAGACGTCGACATCCATTGGGTGTCTAGGCGGTGGCACGGGGGTGTGCGAAATTGGGGTGGATCGACGTTTCAACAGTTGACTTGAAGTAATAGGGGTCCTGTTTAAAGGTGTGAAGCTTGAAGGACTTTCGAACCATGCCAATCTCGGGATCGAGCACTCAGCATTGGTTTGCTCCTCATGTGGATGCATACGTGTCCCTGTAAAACCCTCAAACCCGGAGCACGCATGGCAGCCGCCTAGGCTCCGGCCCGGCCGCCTGCCGCACGCCGGCCGCGCGGCCGCGGACACGGTCGGGGGCCCGCGCGCTGGCGCTATGTTCTGGGCCGGCGACGAGATAGCTGCACGTCGGTGGAGGCAGTCGCCAAAGATTGGCTGAGTCAGCATGCAACTTGCAGTTCGGCCCGCGTTCAGCTTTCCAGGCTTTCTTTCCTTTCAACATGCACTTGGGCTAGCTAGTAGTAGAGGCATGCTGCGTTCTGACGTCTCCAGAATGGAGGAAGGGTCTATGAAGGATAGGCCCTATCCTTCATGTGCCCCCAATTCGGGGCCTGTTCACTGTGTTGTGGAGTTAAACAATGCCAAACAGCAGTTTGAAGTTTTTCTGAACTCTTTGTAGGTGTGCAGCGCATGTTCTTTGAGCTGGCAGGATGAGGCCCGCCCTGGTCCTCTTTGCAGCTGCTGTGCTTGCTGCCGCCACAGTCCTCGTCAAGAGCAAGAGTAATAGACAAGGAAGAAAGGCCCCAGAGAGGGAAGTTGTGTTGCCGGTTGCTATTGTGCAACATAGCATCCCCAAGCATTTGGCTTCAGAAGCACCGCTTGAGGAGCTAGATGGCCCTCCAGATCGCTGCCCTGGTGACTTGGCTGTGGCTGGGGTTGAAACAGTGGCCTGCAAGGAGGATGAGGGGCAAGAAAGGGGCAGCAAAAAGTTGGAGAAAGATGACAGGGCGGAAGGATGTGAATCCCCGGTAGTGGTGGGGCCTGCGCCAATGGCAGGGGGGAATGGAAGTGCTCCCTGTAAGGAAGGCCGGCGTGACAAGGGGAAAGATCCGAATGGAGTGGGGCCTGCAGGATGCGAGTTCCCCTTGAATCGCGCAGTGGTTGAGCGGGAGGAAGTGGAGGAGGAAGAGGAGGAGGACCCATGGGCAGGTAAGAAGGACAAGACATATCTTATTCGAAAGTTGGTGTAGAAAAGGGCGTCGATCTCTTCGTTGTGAGGGGTCTCCCAAATTTCATGGGAAGCTATACGAAAACAATGTGAACAAGTTGTGGGGCAAATGTGGAATTCCGGTTCGTTTTGCCCATGGAGGGTCAGCTCTGGATGCTGCACATGGGGCACTTTGTAGCCCTCCAAGAACAGCTGGGCTTGGAATACTGTTTGGGGCAAGATCTAAGAAGCTGTCTTTCCCCAGACAGCTTAAAATCAGCCATCGACGCCAAATTCTCCTGAAAGCCGTTGCATCATCAATTGAACAAGCTGGTTCTTGTTTTCCAATGGGTCTGATACAGTGCTCATTCAAGCCCCAATCGGTCTCAGGCTCACTTCTTTTAAAGCGTCGCAACTTCAATGCGTTCAGTGTGCGGTTTAGACAAGCTTTTGTCGCAAATGATATAATGTAGCAGCATCTTCCAAAAGGCTGCGTTCATCTGCTTCAGTGCATTTTGTACCTCAACGCACACGAGCCATCTTATTCCCCTCCGTCATTCTCTACAAATGCCCTTTACTATGCCCCTTGGAATATTTGCCCACGAGTTTATGTCCAGGGCCCGGCCGTCACTTCACTCTCAAAAAGAATGGCTTCCCCCTTTTTCTGCAACAGCAGCTAAATATCTCACGCTCCTCCTTATGACAGATTATGAGATTGAGTGCGCCCGGCCCCTGGGCGGCGTCGAGGAAAATTGGGTGCGCGCCGTCACATCTGGCACCGGCGTGTCCGTCATCATGGTCGTCATCGCGCGCCAGGTGGCAGCCTGGCAGGTCACCCACGCCGGCCGAGAGCTCCAATGCCGCCACGCGATGCTGCGCAGCTGGATCGTCTTTGACCGAGATGGCAGGCCTCGGTTTGAGATCTCCAAGCATCCGTTTCTGAGGGCCGGCGTGGACAATGTGCGCTTGAACTCCTCCGGGGGGGTGGAAATAACTCCAACGGCGGGGGGGAGAATGATGGGAAGCCCTGCAGAGGGGGTGGACTGCGCGGTTTCGGATTGGCACCAGATCCTCGAGTGGGAGCTGAACACTCCCATCGGGAAAGTGACGGCACCACCTACGACGGGCGTCGACACCAGTGAGGACCGCTTTCCGGCCCTGGGGCTAAAGCTCCACTTTCTCCCGGGGGGGCGGTGCTCGGTAGCTCTGCGGGTGCACACTGCCGCATGCGACTATGCGGCAGTCGCCCTAGCCGCAGGCGAGTTTGTGAACCTACTGGACCAAGTTGTTGCGCAGACTGACGAGCAGACTTTTTCGGGGGGGTCGTCGAGCGCCCCCCCGGTGGGGATGAAGCGCGTTTTCAGCAACGCGGGGCTGCATCAGGAGGACGAGTGGCTGATTGGGGAGCAGTGCGAGGGCTCTCCGGGGGGGTTCAAGATGAGACGCGCGGTCAGCAGTCATAAGCTCCACCGTAATGAGTCAGCCGAGCACCTGGCGGTGGGGGGCATGAGGAAAGTCCAGAGCGCGCTGCATCTAGAGCGGGGTGGTTTTGGCAGCTTCTTCAACCCTGAGAGCCGCTCGTCCATTGCTTCGAGTGAGGGGGTCACAAAGCACCATAACGGAACATCGGGGGGGTCCGAAACAAGCTCGCGAAGTGGGGGGGGACATGTGATTCTGGAGCCGTTAGCATTGAGTAAACCCCGGTCGGAATCGCCCAGCAGCTGCCTCCAAGGCCCGGTGTCCTCAAGCACGTCCGCATCTTCCCTGAGCCCGGATCCGGACAGCCACGTGGCGGCCGCCAATTTGTTCTCTCGCGTGCCGACTGAGGACGGGCAGGCATTGTACGACATGTCCGAGTTGCCCCCCCTCCGGCCCCTGCGAAAACGAACCCCCCAGGAGGAGACCTCGGCCCCTGAGAGCCCCCCCTTCTCGCCCAGCTTTTCCTCCCCCATGTCCTTTGTGTCTGCGCAATCGTTCCCGCTTTCGCCCGGGTCGAGCCCCTCGCTTTCTCCCTCCCCCTCTTTTGAGTTTGCTACTGGCGGGGGGCAAGAATTGGGCTCGCTGGCACCCCCCCCTAGCCCACTTAGCTCCTGTCAAAGCCCCAGCCGGCATGTCGCCATGGGCCTCATCGATCCGTTTGCAGAGCTCGGCGGCCGCTCTGCCCCCCCTGAAACGAACACCAATTCGCACCCCCCGAAATCAGATAAGTGTACCATAGACACTCACCCCCCCGCAGCGTGCAAAAAGCCCGCGCGCATACGAATCGGTCCGCTCGAGTATTTGAAGGGGGGTTCGAGCGCGCTACCGTGCGTGGAGGACCTGTTAGATAAGAACCGGGCGAAGAAGCCGTTCTGGGCCAAGGGAGCGGACCTGGTCGGGTACTCGGTGGGCAGCCTTGGGAAACCGATGCTTGCGTTCCAGCCCGGATGGGCGCCCCCGCTGCGAACGCAGGTCGTGCATTCAATAATCCCGCAAGCAGGTGAAAGTCTTCAGCTTCGTCCTTTCTGACTTTTTAATCCTGCTGATATCTGGAAGGTCTGATTCTCCACTCAATCCGGCAGGCGGGTAAGGATCCCAACGTGTCGTCTTCGCTTTGATTTCTTTGTTGTCTTTTGAGCAAAGGGTCTGACTTAATGTTATCGCAAGCAGGTGAGGATTCAGACTTCATTGCTTTGTTTACGCCTTTATTTATCCGGTTGCGAAAGGGGATACGTAGGTCGTGCACCCGTTGATCCTGCAAAGCGGGTGGGGCCCCCAACTTGTCGTCTTTCATTTGTGTTCTTTTGTCGTCCTTTGAGGGCGACGATCTACAGTTGTCTACTCGGCCATTCCGCAAGCGGGTGAGAGTTCCAAGCTCGTCCTCTTCATGCATTACTACTTGATAGGGCGGCGATTGGATGGTCTGGTTGTCCATTTAATCATGTCCCGCAAATGGGTGAGGGTTCCGATTCCGCCTCTTCATATCTTTTCCTTGACCTGTCTCCAATGGGCGACGCCTCCAAAGTTCTGCTCGATTGCATCTGGTCAACGAGCTTTTGGCCCCGGGCTCGTGGTACTTTTGCGGTATCTCCGTTGTGATTTCCCTCAGTTTCTTACTTGGTAGTTGCCTTCAGTTCCTTTCCTCCGGATTCCACCCTGGTGAACGTCAACCGTTGAGTGAATACCCGTTCTGCGACGTCAGAGGTTCTATTTGAGGGAAGGGATAATCATTTGCCGAGTTTCCTGCCTCCGCTTTCTGCCTCTCCCATTCTTTCTCTCCTGCCAGCAATGCGGAGTCCCTCTCAACGCTGCTTGTTGCAGGCCGCAGCTCGCGCAAAAAGTGCTGACGATCTTTCCTTCTTGAGGACACTCGTCATGTCTTACTCCTCTCTACTTCAAGCGGACACAACTAGAAGAGAGTAATGTTGGAAGCCAACCCGGCTTCTCCTCATCCCTGCAGCTACACCGGCCCTTCTCGTCCACGCTTTTCTTATTCTAATCAAACACAACCAGTAGATACAGAACCGAAAGCTTTATTTCTCTTTATCTCCGCAGCTATATAGGTCATTACCTCGTGCCACGCCTCCCTGTGTATAAGCGGACAAAATCAGAAGACCAGAAACCACAAGTTCAATCCCGCTCCTCTATGCCCGCAGCTACGCAGTCCCTTCTCGCTGCGTGCGCCGCCCACAACACCAGCCTGTACGGGGCCCTCTCCGCGTCCTGCTTCAAGGCCGTGGCCGCCAGCAAAAAGACGGGGCCCTGTCCGGAGACGTACGGCATCACGACCATGGTCAACTGCCGCGCGGAGCTGCGCGCGCCGATGCGCGAGACGGACGTCGGGTTCTTCCATTCCGCTCTGATGCACCACCATTCCGTCGCGGAACCGACGGAGCTGTGGGAGCTTGCGGGGCGGTGCTCCGCGACGCTGGAGAAGGCGTTGCAGGAGGACAAGCAGTTCAAAGACATGGGCGTGCTCAACATGCTCTTCTACCAGGTGCGCTCGTTTGGATTCCTAGGTTTGGGTTTGAGGTTTGGGGTTTGGGGTTTGGTTTGGGTTTCCCATCCTCCGCGATCTTAACTTGTTTCGGCTTCAACGGGTTTGAGATCTGGCATCTCTATGTTACTGCGGTCTTGACATGTTTCAGTTCTCAACGGGTTAAGGATCGGAATGTCCAAATTTTTGCGGTCCCGACCTTTCTCAATTCTTCTTGCCGGTACCGAGGTTCGGATGTGGCACGGAGCTTGACTTTATGTATTTTCAAATGTTTGAGGTGTGACAAGGGCACTTGTTGTGCTAACTTGTTCAGGGGTAAAGCGAGCCGCTTCTGCTGATTAAATTCAAAGCTGACTAATTTAAGAGGGTCTTGAGCACGGACTGTATCTGACCATGTTGTAAGTAGTGAGAGTCCGGAACCCGATCTTGGGGAGCAATTCGTCTATTCAGTAAGCGAGGCGGCGCCTGGCACCGGACTCTACAGTAGAATCAGTAACACCTTCCGTACATAGTGAAGAGCTACTCGAAATGAGCTGTATCAGTCATTGGGTTTACCATTCCCCCTGAAAAGTTAGCTGAAAGTGAGCTGACACTTCGGACGGCGCTGTCTCCGCAGGCGATGCAGCACCCCAACCTGACGCCCCAGTCGTCCATGCGGACGTCCGTGCTGTGCGCCTTCGCGTCGAGCGTCCACGTGCCGCTGCCCACGACGAGCAAACTAGAGTTGACAGAAATCATAGGGTGCGCCTCGGTGCACGGCGTCGGGCCGTGCATCGGCATATTTAGCTTCATGATAAACGGCAACCTGCACTATTGTTTAGCCTTCCCGGCCCCCCTGTTCTCGCGGGAACAGGTGGCCTGGGTCAATGAGCGGATGCGCGAAATGCTTACAAGCTGCGCGGACAATATGAATGCGGATTAAGGTTGTTATACATATGCGTAGCGAGATTGAAAAGACCGGCATGAGTTGAGGCTATAGAGACTGGTTGGCAAACTGCGCGTAAGAGACTGAAGTGTGTGGAGTTTTGACAGTCACATGTTGACAGGTACAATTGCAACCGCACTTTCACGCATACAATCACAGTAATGAAGATTGTCACCGACCTGGAATTTCGAGTGGAAGCTGTGTTTGAGAACGATTTGTCTAGTTGAGAAGATGTTTCAAGAACCCAATGTCGTCCATTTTAACGGCCGTGCACATATGCAATGGAAGCCCAAGAGAAGTTAAAACAGGGTAGCCACTTTGTGTATGAGAGCTGTGTCGAACGTCCATGGGCAACAGATCGAGCCCCCGCGATGCAAGAATGTCCAATAGCGCATGCATGCATCGACGAATATAGATCATGTCTCACGTACTCGCGGGCAAATTCGTACTTACCGTGACACTTGCTACAATGACAGTAGCGACCATGCACGATCGCTCAGTCAAACGTGTACGGCGGCAACAGTATACAGCTATATCATGCGATTATCACGCAGGCCCGTGATGTCGGGTTGAAGGCAACAATTGATCGAAATTCCGTATCAAGCAATCAAATTAGACTGACCGTGGTGTTTACGTGAATCCTGTCCAAGCTGATCGTTGAGTCTCGCTATATATGCATGCAGCTTAGTGTTGCGCAAGCATGCGCAGTTTTCGAGGGAAAAAACGGCTCCTCAAATCATGCGCAGGCATGCATGCAGGATCGCAAACAGCTATATTTGTTAACGTCGATTTGATTCACATTCGGGCATGGCCAGGTATGCAAGTAAGCAAGAAACTGTGCAGCCTAGGACAATTCCTGAAACAGTTGCTCGTTCGTAACAAATTAAAAGCAGATCAAGTGCCAGCTAACCCGGCCTTTTTCAACTCATTTTTGGTATATATGTGATAACCTAGCATAGGAGTTCTCGAAGATGTGCCCACAACAAATGGAGTCTGGCTCTGTTTCTACGTCTACGTACAAACACACAACAGTCAACGTGGAAGAGTCGATGACTCACAAAGGATGAAACTAGTTCGTCATGAGAAGCAACGTAAGAAAGAAGTAATCTGCGCGCTATTCATTTTGAATTTTTCTCACGTCAAGCTAGATATGTACAACACGGGCGCAGTGTGGTCAACTACGTAAATACAACCGTGGCCCTGTTCGTGAATGCGCCCCATGCACGGCCGGCCGGATATCCCGCGTGGAAGGGGCCACTACAGCGACCGGTGGAGTAAGCGGAAAGACCGGTGTGTACTCTCCAATGGCACACCCATGCGGACAATCTGGAGCGCATTGAGATAGGATGTTACAAATGGCTGGCTCATTATCTGCGCTTCAAGGATAAAAGTCAAGAAAAAACTTGGAAAGAGTCGGGGGAATCGTGACGTATTCACCGTTCGTACTTCCCAAAACAATCAACCACCTACGTCGTCGTATAGTGGGCATCAAGTCGGGGTAATCAAACATAGCTTCGTTCGGGTCGAGCTCTACTCAAAAGAGTTATTTGAGAGAAAACAGATGACCTGAACTTGAAAAGAACGTATTTGCACGTTTGTCCGCTGATTAGCAGACTTGCTGATGGCAGATGGTAGTGGCCAGGTCTACTCGTGATGCTCTTCATCTGAATCAGCTAAAGCAATTGTTGAGGGAAATTCCGAGCTGGACAGAAAGAAACGGTGTTCTTTCGAGTGTCACTGATCCCAGCTCTTACTGAATCAGATACGCCTAGGAGTGTAAAAAGCAGTCGCCATTTTTAAGTGAAGCAGAAAGCCGTGAAGCAGAAAGCCGTCCAGTCAATCGTATTCCGGATTCCAAAACCCTGTATGCAATGTCAGACAAAGAACCTTTACTTACCGCAGCAAATCGTCCCTGAAACCCATCAAGCCTCCAACGAGCGGCCAGGCGTTACTGGCGCCACCTCGCAACACCTAAACTCTGAGCACTCGGCGATGTGACGTGGCAGCTCCTTCTGGCAGGGGGCGCAATCGTCAGGCATCCTGCAGCCGTGCTCGCAGGGGACGCAGGTGATGCAGGCAAAGGCGCAAGGGGACTTGCTGCGGACGACCTCGGCAGACACGCATGGAACCTGTGGGAAAAGTAGGAGGAAAGCTGGCTTTAGTGGAAGGAGTTGAACTGCACCGAGAGTGTCTCTGCTGCTTAAGTTGTCAGTAAGGATCAGGGGAAAAAACACCGGAGCCTTTCTTGGTGCACGATTTAGGCTTGACGTAATCACAAATCCTGATGCGCGAATTGGGCTTGATTGGGTTTGAGTTTAAGAAATCAAGTAAGACGGCCTTTCCACGGTTTGCAACTGTCAATCTGTACAGTGGGTGCCTGGAACATTAGCCTTTGGTTGCCTGTTTGCAGAGTAGGTCGATCTTCACATATAGCCTTGCTCAGAATGCGAATTCATTCCAAAGCTGCGAAATCACAACTCATTTCAAAACGTAAAATCCTGTTGAAAATCTAGGGTCAACATGGAGTAGAGAGGATTTCAACCTTTATTCAAGCCTCCACTTAAGCCTCCACACTTCTACAACAACAGGGAAAGTTGTCACAACAAGGGCCATGCTTACAAAGGTGGCGGAAAAAGGTATCAGTCCGACAGAAAAGTTGGTTCGTTCGAACAACGCATTGCCACTCAGCTTGTCACTTCTCAACCTTCCATTCGTTGCTCAATGCACCTCCGATTCTGTTGCATTCAGTACCACCAACCAAAATAGAGATAGTCTGTTGGATAAGCTCACTGACAATAAGAATGATGAGCAACTAGACGAGCGAAATTCCCTTTTGCCCCACTTGGCTGAAGCTGCCAGTCTATGTATTGCTCTGCCTCGTCGACGTTGCCTTCATTGCCATCCACCATCGTCCACCAATACCAACTCTCAACTTTCCAAGCCTAGGCATTTCAGCTCGCTAAAATGCTAAGCCAGATGATGGCAGCAAACAAACCGCTTTAATTGAAAGCCCTTGAAGCTAAATCGCCCCTTTCTCGAACGAACTTGCAACAGTCACTCTTTCAATCTAGCCAATCTTGGAAGAACAGGACTTAGAATTGCATTCTTTAGTACTGCTGGCTCCAAATAGAAAAGAATGGAAGTAACAGCTAGCTGAAAAAGGGTACCTCACAAGCCCACTCACATGCAGCAGGATGCAGAAATTAAAGGAATTTTTGGACTACTAATGAGAGGATTGAGCAGTTGCGGCAATTCTTTCCAACTCACGTCGTCATCCTCGTCCGCATACCCCCGAGTAGCCAGGAAGACCCAACCCCCCGTGGTTCGGACATGCTTGCTCTCGCTGGGAGAAGCGGCGTCGCCAGCTTGCATACGCTCCATTCTGGCCTGCTCGTCAGACTCTGCCGCCCTGTTTTGCTGCATTTCAGAGTGACCCTCTCGCTGAATGTTCAGCATTCCAAGCGCGCGTCTTTGTCCTTCCAAAGCGCCCTGCATGGAAAATGTTTGAAGCCGCGAAGCACTGTTCCAGCTCACGAGGTTTCCTCGCATCAATTTTCGTGGAAAAGCTTTCGCAATTGAGACGCGAGCAGTCAAGTCAGCTCGCAAACCAGAAAGCTGGACAGAAAACTGCGCTCTGAGCTTTCAACCAAAGCGCTATAAAAGACGCGGAAGTTTCTGAATGGACGCTATGGCGGCTTCTTGCAATTAGCTCTTCAGGAATGCATGCGCGAACGTTTGTCGCAGCTCGCATTGAAGTAGAAGTCAGAAAGCACCTAAGACTTACTGTAATCCTGCAGAGAACTGATCAAATGCGTCTTTCACTTGAAAAAAGCTCATGGTAGGTACCTACTTGAGGAGATCACAGTCGAGACAATATCATACGCGCCCCCGTTGCTGTCGTACTTAGCTTGTCGACCTGTGCATGCATTGGCCCAGTTCAAGTCTCGTTGTAACCTCGAGATCACAGCTTTCGATTTCGCGGGTCTCCTTGTGACTCCCCCGTGCTCTGCCACGATTTATTGTCGATCGTGCGCTGTTGGGGGTGACTGAAAGGGGCCGGGGCCCGGATGTATCAAGCGTGTATTCACAGTGGAAGCCTACTGCCTTGTCTCGCGTTCGCTGGTGTTCATGGGCTCGCAACTGACTGACAGCTCGGCGCACTGTCAGACCAATCATTGCATGATCCAAAGCCGCCAGGTTGTACGCCTTGAGTCTTGACAGCGCGCGCTGCATAATGCAGATGCTCATAGTGGAACAGCTTCAATCTCACTGATTGATAGTATAATGCCTATGACTATATACTCCTAGTAGGGAGAGTGCCACAATTTTCACTATGTTCTAGACCATAATACAATAGCACTTTCCTTAAGAACTCAGTCATGGCTGCTGCATATGGCCTGCCAAGAAACAGCCTTCATATAGTATCAATTTAGGAGTCCAAATGCATCGGTATGTGGAATCTATATCATATCCGGATCCAATTGTCGTTTTGCAAGCTATACACCACTGAGACTGACATGCATGATCGACATACGAATACATCATCAACTAGCACACTGTGCACGCACATTGACGGTAGAAGCTCTCTGGCGGCAGGTCATAAGCAAAAGACTCCATCATCTGACATCATGATGACAACAATCAGGCTTTCCGCACAGGAGCTTGCACTGTGAACGAGACACGGATAAGACATGAGCGTCTGTCACGTTTTGATTGCTCTCGGCTGCTATTCGACTCCTGTCGCTACTGAAGTCTTTGACTCTAAACGAGTGTCCGACCTCCAAATCCTGATGGATGCAATAGATTACGTTGCTTTTAGCAGCGCTTTCGACGCTAGCATCACGTCATCAAATGTAACCTTGATCGGCCCACTGCTCACGCGATTTTTCCATTACCGTCACTTCCTAGCAGCCTCTTTCTCGATAATTGCTTGCTGCTTGCTTTTAAGCGATGCAATGTATGCCATATAAACAGTGCAACAGTCCAAACAAAACCTACTAGCGCATGCTCTAGAGGCGCCTCTCAGTCACGAAGCTGAGAATGAACGCGCTCACTATTTTCCGCATGAATGGGTTTGGTATCCGCCTACAAAGCCGCCCATCTACCCACGCGAGCGCGCTAGAAAGCGCGAGGTGGAACGCGCCCTTGCGCACTATACTCCGGATGTTCGCTCCGCCCTCCTTCTTCGGTTTGTGCTCCTCCGGCAACGGCAACGGTTTTTCCATTGGTAACGGTTTCTCCTTCTCGGACGTCCGCAGATGCAGCAGCTGGCACGCGCGGACGTGCAGCTTGTGTACGATGATGACGACCACCAGCTCCTCCGCGAGCGCGCGCGCGATCGGCAATAAGCTATTGTCCTCGCCGCGGAAGCGGCGGGACCGCGCGACGGCCGCGTGCGAGTCGCCCTCGATCAGGCCCTCGCCGATCAAAAAGTTGCGCGTCTCCTCGATGATCTCTGACGTCAGCCGGCTGTTGGGCGGGAGGTTCTTGAGGATGACCTGGTCGTTCGAGAGCTTGACACGTAGGTAGTCCTGCCGGAACGTGCGGTCCAGCATGGCTTGCAGGTAGCCCTCGATGTACGCCTGGAGGAGGGATAAGCGATGGGGTTCGCTTTCGAGCAGATGTGGGAGCGAGGGATGACAAAGTGCGCCACATTAACAAACAGAAACAAGAGGATATAAGCGAAGCCAACAAGTCGCCACAGAATTGATCAGGCAAGACGGAGCAAAAATCTTAATCTCTGTTTTCGTACCTCGGAATGGCTCTTCGTGCACTACTCTGCTCGATGACGCACCCTTGACAGGCAATTGCCGGACTCTCTCAGAACAGTTGTACATTATAATGAACCAACGAATGGATAGTGCAAAGCTCGTCAAAACCCCAATAGTATAATCAAAGATCAAGGCGGGATGGTCCGATCGGAGTCCCCCGGGGCCTGATCTTGTCCGTGCCCAGGCTCTCGTCCACCTCGATCTTTTTGGCGAACGCACCTCCAGCAATACAATCTCGCCAAAGGGAGTAGAGTGGCTCTCCAGGGAGACTGAAATAATAAACAGACACTACGAAGCTCGTCAAATTCATCATTGAAAACCAGACGGTCAACGTGCCCGGTTGAAGTCTCCCGAGGCCTTACCTCGTCCGTCCCCAGGCTCTTGTCCAGCTGAATCTTGTGGGTCCCCGAGCCCTTGAGCGCCGCCTGGAGGACCGTCATAGGGTCCGCCATCGCCGCGTGCATCACGCCGCGCTGGAAACCCCGCCACTGCAGGGCGGAACAAGGTAAACAAGATTCAGCAGAGCGTTGGAGAGAAAGGTTGGGGTCGTCAGCGGTCGACGGATGACGCGGCGCTAGAACTTGGCTACACTGCGGAATGTGAAAGACAAGGAGTATCAGCAGAGCGTTGGAGAGAAGGTTTCTGGTCGTCAGCGGTCGATGCATGACGCTGCGCTGGAAAATGGCTACATTGCACAAGGAGTATCAGCAAAGTGTTGCAAGAGAGGACTTCTAGTCGGCAGCGGTTGAAGCAACAACCGCGATTCAAGGTGCTCCACTACAAGGCACAGGAGAACCCTCTGAGATTTTGGTGAGCTTTGTGGTCAGCATAGGTAGTAGATATGGACCAAATCCGTTCTAGCAAAAGAGGGTTGGAGGATGTAATTCTCGGATCGAGCCAAGTTCTGAGAGATCCACCAGCCGGGTCGAAGACCGTTCCAATCCCGAGCACGCTGCAATTGCCTTTGGCTTAAAGAGCAAAAGAGCTTTTTCTAATAACTACGTTCACAAGCCGTCTGCGTCTCGTGACCCGTATTGGACACCTTTCACCAAAAATAGCTCATCAAGCATTTTGATCGGGCCTGCGGAAACGTACAAAACCGCCCACCAAACACCTTACCAGTCCGTCCATGCCCTGCGTCTCGGCCCCCTTGAGCAGGCTGTCCGACACCTCCGTCAGCAGCACACGTGCGACGTTTACTCCCCACCCCGCCGCCTGCTCGCCCAGGATGCGCGTGCCCGCGCCCCATGATGTCAGCGGGCTCCAGCCGCCCCGCTTCTTGACCTCTTTCCGGAGCAGGTTGAACATCCCCACGGTTTTGTCGATGGCGCCGGCTTTTGGGTCGAAGAAGACGTCGAGAGAAGCGGAGGCGGAGTCATCGAAGAGGGAGACGAACGAGGGCGGGAGGAACTCGGCGCCGCGCGCTAGCGAGATTGCGCGCATGGCGTACCTGGGGTGGGGAGACGGGAGAATTATGGGGGGGCTAATGGTCAACGGGGGGTAAAAAGAGGGTACGCAATTCATGGGAGTCGGAAGAAGCTGGCGAGACAATAGATGACGGGAAGGTTACATCAGGCGTCCGGCATCACATGGGACGTTATGCGTGGTTGCGACGGGGTCGACATTCTGACCGTCAGGCCACTTTCTAAATTGACGGAAAACGAAAGGAGGGGGAATAGAAGTGAAGGGAGCTGCGAGAGGCGTCAGATTGAGCTCAGGAGATGCCCCGTCAGCTGCAAGAAGAAGCGGGGTTCCCAGGGTCAAAATCGCGGCACGAGCACCAGTCTCCGGCGACGTACCAGTAGTAGTGGATGGCACACTTGGTCGCCAGCTGGCTGTAGGTGAGCAGCGCGTGCGTGAGCAGCACCCCGTTGAGCTCCACCTTCTGGTTCTTCACGGCCGGCAGCCGGACCACCGAGTGCAGCATCCCGCGCAGCGCCTCCTGCGCCGAGTCGCCCTCCGTGTCCGCGCTGCCCGGGAGGAAGCTGCCCACAATCTGAAAGACGGCAAGAATTCGCACAGCGGTAAGATATAAGATGCTTATACCGATATTCCGCAGGCTTACAATAGGGATTTTAGTGTGTGGCGGAGCCATTTGCTGCAACGTCCCCTTCCGTGCCGGTGCTGCCATGGAGCGGCACGAGCTTTCTCAGCGAAGAGCTTTCTCAGCTCTTCGCCATCTGTCGTCCGTGGCTCTTCGCTTTCTTTGGAGAAAGCTCTTCAGATCTGGAGCAGCAAAGGGTTGCAAACTTTCTGCGGAAACAAGTAGACTCTAACGAGAGGATATAGAGTCTTGCTCAGCGGTTGCTTGTGTCCTGTTCTGACAGAGACTGCATCTGTGTCAGCGTTGCTCAATAGGAAATCACCTTCCCAGGGTCTGGGGGCGGAGAATGCCTATTTGAAGGTTTGCTTACGGGTCTTGGCAGAGCATTGTTTATGGGTTGAACGTTTCCGTTTGGCCTTGTTCAATATCAAAGCTCCTGCCCTGTCTGAGAGCAGCAAGAATGTGAGAGAGTTTTATTAAGCAGCAAACAAGGGGACTCCCGGACCCGCGCTCCCTGTGGAGAAATTGCCGTCTGATTTGACTCTCCTCAGACGGCGACAATGAAGGAGGAGCACGTTTTGACGGCGCCTTCGTCCAGCAACATTGACGCTACCTTCGGCCCTGATATGAGGCCTCACCTTGATGGGGTGCACTTCAAAGCGCTCGAAGTAGACCAGCGTGCTGGGGGCCTTGGTCACCGGCGGGGCCAGCGACGTGCGCGCAAACGCGACCAGCTTCACCAGCGTGTCCTCGTCCACGTTCACCTCAATTGCCTGCACGGATAGGGCTAGGAGTCTGGATATTCAAGTGTTCTTAAACTTCAACACGCACATAGTCCAGCACCCGGGATTCCGGAGCGCGCTGAGCTTTCTGATCCTCTTCAGAAACCACTGTAAGTAGCCACGTGGAAAGCCATTGAGGAGGGCCCGTTCCAACCCCTTCTAGTCTTTCTCATCTGCTGGAGTTCTGGAAGCCTTTCTTGACCATTCAGCTTCTTGCCCTACTCAGCGAATGAGATGACACGGCATCTTTGAAAACTCGCGCAGAGCTGCACTTTTGCAGAACAGCCCAAACAGAGAGGCGATACAAGATGCATACGGACGCAACGTTGGTCGGAGGTGAAGAGGCTCTTTTTCACTCAAAAAGGAAGGGGCAGTAGGTGACGTGCAGCGGGCTCGTGATGTTAGAAGACTTACGCAAGGTTGCACTTTCGCCAAACAGCCCAAATAAAGGAGTGACACAAGATGTATCGGGACACATCTTTGGGGGAAGGGTATAGTAAGTTCTTCTTACTTGGAGAAGGAAGGAAAAGTAGGTGAGGTGCAGCGGGCTCGTGGTCTTGGTGGAGCCGATGACCGCGAGGTGCATCAGCGTGTCGCCCTTTTCGTCGTCGAAGCCCGCGTACGGCCGCAGCAGCACCGGCTTGCGGGCGCCCTCCCACCGGACGTCGATGTCCGCACGCTGAAAACCGGGTGAAGGAAACGAGGGTCAGAAAAGCGAGAGTTTCCAATAAAGTATTGATTGCAGATTTGAAGGATGATTAACCTGGACCACTCCGTCCCATAAAGCAGTCAGAAAAGCAGCATCTTGGGGGAAATTTTCATTGATGACAATCACTGGAGAGTATGTGGAGTCTGGATGATAGAAAGGATGGGTGGGAATGGTCTGGCAATGGTCGACATTGAAGAGATGCGACGGATGGGCTGAGTATGGTTGAAGATGCATCCTTGTATTTTTCCAAAATCGGATCGCTGCCGCTCCAATCTGAACCAATTCTTGCCCGCTTTTAGAGAGAAGTCTGCAGCGCCCCTGAATCTCTCCGCCACTCGCTTTTTGGGCACGTGGTGCGTCCCCGGGGCTCGCAACTCACCCGCAGCTTCACCTCCGCTGACACGCTCTCCTCTCCGCTGACGTAATCCACCTCGACGCCAATCACTCTCAAATACAGCAGCGGGCTGTAGCTCTCTTCGTTCACTGTCTGCGCCACTTGCAACCGTGCTCGGTCTCTTTCCCTCCGCTGTCGGACGTTTTCGAGGAGCGTGAACCCAAGTGACGACAGGCTGACGCGAGCCTCCATGGTCGCCACGTCATCCTCCTTGGGCGCTGACGTCTCCTCCGTTTGGTCGCTGACGCGCAGCACGCGAGTGGGGCCGTCGGCCGAGACCTGCGCCGGGGTTTGGGAATATTAGAGGAGGCAGTAAAGAAGCAGTCTGAGAAAAGACAAGATTAAACGGCAGCGTCGCGGTTCTTGACGACGACAATATCGGTTCTGAGATGGAGAAGGACAGCGTTTGCTAACGGGCGTTCATCGAGGTCTGGCTTCAGTCGCTTGAATTACCAGCAATGAGCTCACCTTCTGCAAAAGTTATGCTGAAGGCGAAAATGTCAGAGATCGGCTTATCACGCAAAGACCTTGCTTTATCTTAACACTCGACATCCGTGCTTCGAAAAGTCCTCCAAGCATGTGCGCCCAGCAGTTGCAAAAGCTTCTCCACAGGATCCACGGAGTACTTTTACAGGAAATTGCAGCCTCGCCTGCCGCTAGTGATTCCTTACAGAAAAATGAGCCCCGCCTATTGCTGAGTATTTCAACGAACGCAGCCCCGTGTAATCTTGCCTACCTGGTAGCTGACGTCACCCTCGGCCGCGTCCCCTGCCATAGCCTTGAGCGCGGCCGTGGCCACCTTGTCGTGGAAGCGCGAGAAGAAGGTGCTCGAGCGCGCGGCGCCGCGGGCGCGCATTGCCGTCCAGCCGCGCAGCTTGTCCAACCGCACCTCCTCGCGCAGCTGGGTGCCTGCAAACCGTAGGTCAAGAAACGGGTTAACTGCCAGGTTGTCCTAGTCGCAAAAGGGGGTGAGAGAAGGCTTGAGAAACGAATCAAACGAGGAGCTTGCTAATTGCTGTCCAGACACGCCACCTTGTTACGAGGCAGCTGAGTACTTGCAGAAAGAAAACCGGAGAGCGGTCTGATGAGTTCAAAACGGCTTGTAAAAACAGGTCAGCAGGTTGAGATGCGAAATAGAAAGGATGTTTAGTCAGGTTCGCTGTCAGTACGTCTGGCGTCCATTCTGAGGCCACAATTAATAAGAGAGTCCCAGGAAGTCACCTCCCTGCAATCAAACCGGCAATTCCCCTGAGCCGGATGCAGCTCGGGCGTGCTTATATGCAACCCTTCTGAGCTTTCCTATCATTGTGGTCTTGCGACTTCCACAACGCCTCGGAGCATCGTTTAGCCACCCGCTTCTGTATCACGACACCCTCCTAGAATCTCTTCGCGAGCAAATCAGCGGCCTCTCATTTTCCGTCCAACGAAGCAGAGTTTGTCACGTGGAAGCACTCACCGACGACCACGACCACGAGCCGCCGCTCTTGAGCAAGGTCGTCCCACACAAACTCCACGGATTGCCCCGGCTCCAGCAACTCCATTTCGGACATGCCCTGCACCAATGAAGGACCGACACGTGTCATCGTTTGGCTTATCAGATCCAAATGTCTCTGGCCTTTGTCGTTGGATAAGAGGGGCGCTGCTTTTGCGAGCGAAACTTAGGCTAAAACTTGAGGACTCCGTTTGTTCATTTGGGTGTCAGAGCGGTCTGTCTTACTTTTTTGCCCAAGTAATTCGCTCGGCCCCCATGTAGCAACGAAGACATGCTCAGGAGGGTAAGCCTCAGTTGACAGTTTTTGCTTCTGAATCAGAGGAGAAAAATCGCTCTAACGGATGTCTTGTTCTCACCATGAGAACGTGCTTCGCCGTTTGCCTTCAAAAAATACGCACATACTTGGAAGCACAGCCAAACAAGGATGAGGCCCAAGTCCAATGACACTTGAGAAGCGCAGTTTCTGTGAACAAGGTGCAGTCTCACCTTTTGACAGAACGAGATGATCCCCTGCTGCATGTTATTCTCGATTTTGTATGGAACGCTTGCGGTAGTTTGTGGGCGGATACTGACGACCAGGCTGGGGCTGTCGTCGGCGACCTCGGCCAGCCACAGGAGCGGGGCTCGGTCGCCTGCCGGGGGATCCCCCAGCTGCAGACCCGGCCGGGACTTGAGGTAAAAGGTGCCCAGTGCAGCGGCGCACAGGCGCCCCGACCACTCGTGAGGGGATCCCTCCGGGCGGACGCGAAGGTGTAATTGGCCGGGGGACTCAACGGGGCCTGAAGAGAGAGAGTACAGGTTGGTTTTTAGGCTGAGTTGTGAGTTTCCCCTGTCAAGAACCGGTACAAGCGGTTCAGGAAAGTAGTCGTTCCAACTTCGCTGGTTAAATTAGCTAGTAACAACTAGAACCCGCCCACGACTCTCCACCAAAAGGGTTATTCGCAAACGCTGTCGCAGTTCCTTAAGACTGTCAATGTGCAGCGCAAGATAACATTAGCGCAATTTACCTAGCGCTAATTACATTAACGCATTATTGGCGCAAACTTACCGTTGTGTTCACTGTGTCCTTTTCGTCTGTCGCCATCCTCGTTGTTCTCGTCCGTGACCAGTTCTTGCGCGTGCATGGCGACCCTTTCCCCCGGGGCAAGCTTCCTCACGAACTGTGGGTCTCGTTCGAAGCCGTCCTGAGCAACTAGTATGGGCTTGCTCCCGCTGTTGAGCACGATGTAGCGAGGCCGCAAGCGGATGATGCGGGTGAGGTCCATTGCGCTAGCCGCTGTGCCTGCAAGTGGAGGGCAGATTTTGTGGTGCACAGGTTAGGTAGACGTGTTGAGCCAACAGCAGGTAAACCGATGACCGGCCAAACTTAGAGTGCGGCACGGTCTAACAGTTGACGAATAGGTGAGCGAGTGTCCAGCCCATTTAGGCGCAGAACCACCTTAATGTAGACAGACTTCAATAGGCCTCAATCTCGCTTGCTGGTCCCCGACTCAATCTCGCTTGCTGGTCCCCGATAAGAGGTGGGCATGATCCACAAAAGCTGACAGCGACAAGGCCTGAAGAACGTCGACCATTGAGGGAAAATCCATCGTGACGAATCACGAACGCTCGTTTTCTTCAGCTTTCTAGGCTCAGCTTAGCGGCTCTGCTGGCAGACAGCTCACCAAGCGTTGGAGTCACGATTGCCAAGCCAAGTTGCAGGTGCCGCCTCTTTCCGTCCTCTCGCTCCCCCACCAAATCGATCTCCAGCGCGCCCGCTAGCGCCTTTATGTCCAGAAACGTCGCTTTCGGGGGGCTGCTCCCGCTCCGGGGGGGTTCTCGCACCAGGAGCGTTTCCGAGCCGCACATCCAGGCCGCCAGGGTGCCTGGGCGAATCTGGGCCGTCGATGCTGCGTCCGGATGGTCCCGGGGGGGCCAGTCCGGGGCGTCGGGGGGCCCCTTATGCCGTCCGAAGTGGCCCTTCTTTTTGGGCTGCGGACAGGGGACGCACTCGAGAACCGCGCCGCTGTCATTCTGGAAGGAGTACCTGGTGAAAGGGGGGCAAGAGTCTTTAGTATCAGCGTACATTTGGCCTGCGCGTTCTGCTTATTGGTATACTTGAGGCCTTCCTTCAATTTTGTTTGCGAGGCAGGGGTGCCGAGTTGAAAGATATGCATATCCAACACACGCAGGCGTTGCTGTGACTGCGAGTTAGCGAACAGAGCATTCGAAGGCCAGTTGTCCAAGGAATGATTAGATGACAATAGGGATGAGTAATGTAAACGACTGTTCTTTGTTGCTCGTTCAAAGCGTAAAGTTTGGCAGAATGCTTCTAAAGAACTCCCTGAGTGGCTCCTAGATGTGGCTCCGAAGAAGCAGAGCGCAGCCAACTCAACAATTGGTTCTTTCTCCTCGCATCTGGCAACATTATTTTTGGGAGACTCTGGTGATATAGCTCCAGAAAGAGCATGATCCGCAGATGTAATTCTCTCATGAAGTGTTGAGAGAGAAGCCCTCTCACCTGACGTGGAGAGTCAACTTGAGAACGCCGTCCGCGTCTCTCGCCACTCGAACCACTACCAGTCCCTTTTTGTCGTTGTCGCCCTTTCCAAACCGCACCTCCAGATCGGTCTCCGACTTGTTTCCCGACGACCCCCACCCCGCTATTGACAGCGACTCACGGGCTGCGGTTAGGTCAACTAACCCGCTTTCGGCCAGAGACACCGGTTCTAGACTGGCACCCAGTTCCGGGTGGTACACGCTCAGAAACGCGTTGGCCGGGTTTCCGTGGAGGCAGATCTCTTGGCCCCTCCCAGGCACGACCGAGCCGTCGACGCCCTCTAGCGGGTTTCTCGGAGCAGCTCTCCGGAAGAAGCTGGCGGTCTGGGAGAGCGTGAACTTCTTAGTGGGCGCCTTTGAAATGGGCTTCACTTTTGAAACTGATCCCGTGGCCTTCGTAGGTGCCCCAGACTCGCTTTCATTTTGCTTTTCGTTCCCGGTGAAAGTCTCAGAGTCAACCGGTTTGCTGGTTACTGAGTCTACGGCATCAGACAGACCGCCAGGATCAATATTTGCATCCGTTGCCCCATTCATATGGGCTGCCTTCTGCAGACTCCCCTCGTTTCCCCCATCTCTTGGCACTACTCCTTCGGCATCCGCCCCTGGTTTAACGACCGTTCCGTCCCCGTCCTTTCCAGTTTCTCCATTCGAAGCGCCAGACTCTTCCCTGTCCACATCCTCCCTCTCCCCCTCCTCCAAAGCCCCGCCGCTTAATTCCGCCAATCCGCCTCCCCTGTCCCCCTTCGCCCTCCCCGCCAATGACGTCAGCCACGCGTCAGCCTCGTCATGTGACTGGTGCAGCCGCACCGCCACGTCCTCTGGCAGCGTGTTGCGCACCCGCATCGTCGGCAGCACAACAATCTCCCTCTGGTCGGCCCAATTGTTTACTGCGCCTGTATCTCGGCGTGGCACCTTTCGCAAGAGCGTCTTCACCAGGAAGTGCATCCCGCC